CTAGCTACCAACACAAAAAAGGTCTCTAATGGTGCTGAATGAAGATGTCTCTTAAATGCTCAATACTGTTATACCTGAGCTCCACTCTACATAAATGATCTAGTGCAGCTAATGAACTGTGACCTTTGACCCATGAGGCTCACCTGTGTCCATCTGCCAGACGTAGACGGATCCGTCCGAACAGCCGACCACCAAGTAGTCATCACAGGGTCTCCACTTGATGACCTGGATGGGAAAGAGGTGTCTGGATGCCAGCATGATGCACTTCCGCTCACGCAGACTCAGCAGACCCACAGAGTGATCACTGGCTACTGAACACACACAGTGCTGCACACGTGTCTGCAAAAACACACGTACATCAGATCGTGAGGAGATCTGCACAACAGAAATCTAATGTAGGGCTGCAAAATATATCACAAAATTGTTGTTATTGCCATAATAGTATATTCAATATACAGTTGAATTCAGAATATATATGTTATTCCCCAATTTCTGTTCAGTGGAGAGAAGATTTCTTCAACACATTTCTAATCTTAATAGTTTTAATAACTCATTTCTAATAACTGATTTATTTTATTGTTGCCATGATGAATGTAAATAATATTAGACTAGATATTCTTCAAGACACTTCTATACAGCTTAAAGTGACATTGAAAAGCTTAACCAGGTTAATTAGGGTAAAGTTAGGGTAATTAGGCAAGTCATTGTATAACAGTGGTTTGTTCTGGAGACAATCCAAAACTAATATTGCTTAAGGGGTGAATAATATTGACCTTAAAATGGGTTTAAAAATATTAAAAACTGCTTTTATTCTAGCTGAAATAAAACAAATAAGACTTTCTCCAGAAGAAAAAATATTATAGAAAATACTGTGAAAATTTCCTGAAATTGTTTAACATCATTTGAAGAAGAAACAAAATTACAGCAGGGCGAATAATTCTGACTTCAACTGTATTTAAATACGAGTGCTGTCAATAAATCAATCCCAGTTATTTGCATCCAAAATAAAAGCTTACATTTACATGTGTGTAAGTTACATATGTCTACTGTGCATATTTATTTTTTACACATATAAATACAAGCGCATATATTTAAAATGTGCATATATATATATATATATATATATATATATATATATATATATATATATATATATATATATATATATATACACATTATTATTTTTAACTCGATTTGTTTCTTCAAATTCGTCAATGAATTTTTGGCCATTATTTCACAATCTTTTCGGAGGCAGAGTATGGCAGTTAGCATTAGCATTACACAGAGTTAGCATGCAGAATAACAGGAAACTGTTTTCAAGCCTGCTGTAAATGAAACACCACCAGCAGATGAGTGTGTGTGTGTGTGTGTGTGTGTGTGTGTGTGTGTGTGTGTGTGTGTGCGCGTGTGTCTTTGAGAGAAATGCGCTACAGACACACACCAGCAAGTCATTAATAAATCAATACACACACGTGCATAAAACAAACACACACGCACTTTTAAACATGCATTAACACACAGACAGAGTAAAAGTGTGTTAAACTGACGGCTCAAGGTCAATGACAGCAGAGCATTTCAGATTGTGTGTGTGAAAGCAGAAACTGTGCAGCTGAACAGATGAAGACGAACAGACACAGAGAAACACACACACACACACACACACAGTCTGAGCTCTGATTGCTGGTGGTTATGTGTCATTAGCTCAGCTGGATATGTGTCTGTGTGTAAGTGTGTGTGTGTGTGTGTTTAAAAGAGGAGAAGGACAAAATTGCATACAGTGCATGTAAAACACACACACACACACACACACACACAATAAAAGTTGTCAGTAACATCTATAAAATCTCATTAATATTCATGACGCGTCATATCATGATTATAAAGTTGTCATAACAGTCTTATGAACGCCCCCTTCAAGTAAAGCATTAGCAAAACCTGTTAGGATGTTTATATTTGCTCGTTTAGCACACTTTTACCCAAAGCAACTATCAAAAGAGGAAAAATACACCGATATATAAATAATATAATATTATAAAACATTAGAAATGCTATGAGAAGTCTAAAAAAGCTACATTAGCAAATTTATTTTGCATTTCTAGTGGTAAATTCTGAAATTATATTAAAAATAATGCATATTTTCTTTCAGTTTATAGCCATAGAAGTTAACTAAATCTTAAAATATGTAATGTAATGTGTATTTATATATGGCCATACACCTAAAGCGCTTCATAATCATGAGGAGGGTCTCTACCACAATACTAGTGTGCAGCTGCACTTGAATGATGAGATTCAGTTCAGTGGATGAGGATGATTGGGAGACCATGGCTGATGGAGGGAATTTGGCCAGGACACCGGGGTGACACCCATCTTTACCAGAAGTGCCATGAGATTATTAATGACCACAGAGAGTCAAGGCCTCGGTTTAACGCCTCATCTGAGACTGTATAGTGCCAGTATAGTGTCCCCTTCACTATACTGGGGCATTAGGACTCGCACAGACCACAGGTTGAGCGTCTCCTCCTGGACTCACTAACACCTCTGCCAACAGCAATCTAGCTTTCCCATGTGGTCTCCCATCCAGGGTACTGACCAGGCGGAGCCCTGCTTAGCTTCAGTGAGTAACCGGTCTGGGGCTGCAGGGTGATATCAATAAATACTATAACAGTACTTAAAACTAAAAGAACACTTTTTATCATAAAGAAAACTATTTAATTTCCTAAATAAACATTAATTGGAAAAAAGTAATGTGGGCAACATTTAGTTTAGATTGAAGATCTCTGTCATATACCCGGCGCAATAAGGCGCAAGACGTGCTTGGCATGATTTGTTGCTGTTTTCAGACCAGCGCAACACTAATTTTCACGTTTTGTGTCATGTTGTTTATGTAGTAAATCCATTTGCACCACTCTGTGGACTCATGTGTGTGCTGGTCTATAAAGGAGGTGTGTTAAGGCGCATTGTTGGAGCGTTGCTATTTTGAGGAACTGAAATAGACCTCGTCATTGATCAACTAAAGCTGCTCTAAAGTTCAGAAGAGCGCATAAGTTATGCACAGGTCCAAACGCTTACACACTGCTGATACACACAGGATGATCAGCAACACACAAATATCTTTACACATGAAAACAATTAAAGGATTAAAATGATCCAGAAATTATGATTTTCTACATCAATATAAACAGCACTGCCTCCATGCCTTCTTCATCTAAGGGAGCTTTACCAGTTTATTGATGACGATCTGCATCTGTATAATATGATTATTATTAGCAGTATTATTCATTATATGCAGATTTATATTTGCTTTAATAAACACAAGTGTAGATGTGTCCAGCTGTGGGGTTTTGGAGACGTCTGCATCAGCATATGGGGCATAAGAACAGGACGTGTGTTTGGAGATAACTCAGTTTTCTGACCACACTTCATTATTATTGTTAATTTATTCCTTTGCTAGAGATTAGAGCTGAAGTTAGAAATAGTTTTGACACAAATCTTTGCACTTAACAAAGGAAATTAAACATGTGGGCTAATGGATGTGTTCAGTGGAGTGAGTTTCCACCGTTTCCTCACTCCACCAAAGTAAAGGAGTAAAGAGTAAAAGTAAAGAGAAAGTAAAGAGGCTGAATGGAGGAGGCTCGTTCTTTATCCTCGCGCTGCAGATGCTCTGTTTAACTGTTTTCTCACTAGTCAAGTGTTCAGTTTTTACACTTACAAAGTCATCATGTAAATAGCAAATGCACCATGGAGCGACACGACTGACTCTTAAAGGGAATGAGAGACGAGACTCTGATTGGTTTAATGAAGGTTATGCTCAAAACACAGCCAGAACTCATTAAGAGAATAAGCACAGCCCTGTAAGACCATGCACTGTGTGCACAGAGTGTATTTATCCATCCTTAAAATAGCAAAAGTGGATTGAGACACGGCCTTAATGCTTTTGAGCCATGAGCTGTAGACTCTGCACCTAGATCGATAAATTAGAGCCTTTTAAACTACAACTATTATTAGAAAAGTACTGTACACATGCAGTCTCTCACTATCACTACAACGAAATGTGAAAGTAAAACTTGCAGCAATCGCTATTGAATCATGAACAGGACAATGATTCAACTCCAGTGCTTTTCCCAGTGTGTGTGTGTTTGAGTCTGACCTTGTCTGCGTTGTCGGCTGCCAGCAGGTTTGTAGCGAGCGTCTGCAGTTTGTGTTGCGCCATGTTCTTGAGTGCGGCCAGACTGCGCCGGGTCATGGCCTGCTTTAGGTTCACTGCAGGGTGATTGAGGGAGTCCAGAGCCGCCGGCACCACCTCATCACATGCATTCAAGATCTCCACCGCTGTGATTCCCATCACACAGCGGTCCAGCGCTCCTAAAACACGCACACATAGGGGTTTATATACGGTTGAAGTCAAAATTATTAGCCTTCCTGTAAATTTATTTCAAATATTTTCCATAAGACGTTCAAAAAAATTCAGGAATTTTTCACAGTATTTCCTATAATATTTTTTCTCCTGGAAAAAGTCGTGTTTGATTTATTTCGGCAAGAATAAAAGCAGTTTTTAACTGTTTTAAAGCCATTTTAAGGTCAATATTATTAGCCCCCTTAAGTAGTCTACAGAATAAGCCACTGTTATACAACGACTTGCCTAATTACCCTAATTTACCCTAATTAACCTGGTTATGCCTATAAATGCCACTTTAAGCTGAATCAACTTTTAACATGGATAGAAATAAGTAAAACTAAAAATAAAGTTGAAGTTAAATCTGTGTTTAAAAACTGCACAAATAAAAAAGAGATTCAGTCTTTAGTTTGCAAACAGTCAAATAGCGCAGAAGTACTGGGAGAACAGTTTATAATTTAGATAAAACCACTGATGTTTATAGTAAAGATTAAAATCACTGTCATATGCATTTAAAAACGCTCAAAAATGAAAGTTGTAGGCAGCAATTACATTATTTAGCCTATAGGTGGCGACAACCCGTGAAGAAGATTTTATTCTCTCTGTATGAAGTATTTTCTAAGTGTAAAGCAGTTAATTTTCTCTTTTCAAAATGTATGTAGTGTTTGCAGCAAACATGCCAGCCTGTGTTAAAAATACAGTGATATGTCTGTGTAAGATGAGTATGCCTGCACAGGAGCAACACTAGGAGAAGGCTGAGTGACTGATTGTGTAGAATAACTGAATATATAAAGCACTGATTATTTATGTTAAATACTTCTATGAAGGTATATGTGTCAGAAGTTAGAATGAGTAACATATTATCAAGTTATTATCCTATCATAACAATGTATGTAAACACTTAGTTCCTTTGCATAAGTTGCATCTATACTTTGCTGACATAGACCTGTAACATCTCTGTTGACATGAGCTAGTGGGCTGAGAGCCAAGATTAGCAGGACCCCTTAGACTAAAAACCTATTCAAAAATGGTCAAGAGTTAAAAAGAGACACCTAGGGGTGTGTCAAATAATCCTGTATAAAGATTGTAACAAACACAGATACTTCAGAAAGTGTCCAGGAGAGACTTCAGAATGCTCTGGGGTCTGCTCTGCTCTTTCTCAGCTTTATTATGGAGAATAAAGTCTATTTTCTGATATTCAAAACCTCCGGTCTGATAATTTCTAATTGATGAGAAGTCGAATTTACGACACCCGCTGTCAAAAATATGCCATTAAATTATTCTTCAGAAATGACCATCTAGCAATGAAGCATGAAGTTTTATGAGTGAATCATTTATTGAAAATGGGAATAAAAATAAATATTGGTTGTACAAATTCTACATTTAGCGTGACAGTAAAAACAGTGAGTTTTTCACAGTACTAAATATTTAACTGTTTATTATTTTTCAGCTGATTATTTCTTCATTTTATTTTTATTAAGATTACAGCTTCACAGTTCTGTTTGTTAAAACCAAAAGAGTCTTGCAGTGCTGTTTTTTTGTAATACATGGAAAACAAATTACATTTGTCTTCTCCCCATTTTGGCTGATCTGAAAAATGGTTCGATGCGTGGCTAAAAAAAACCATCCAAACCATGAGATTTGTGATCGGTTACACCACTATTAACAACAATACATAATAATATATCAAATAATATTACATATTAAATATAATTTTGGATACAAATCATAAAAACTAAAACTATAATTGTTGTTAAGCTGAAATAAATTTCTACATTTAATAAAAGTGAACACATAACATAGGAGCTAAAACAAGAACCACACTAATGTATAAATCCATCAGTCTGTCTGTCTGTCTGTGTAAACGTCTAAATGAGGACCAGACGAATCCATTACACTCATCAAACACTGAGATGTGTGTGTGTGTGTGTGTGTGTTTCCTCTTCTACTCAGTTCTCATAATGCCCTGCTGTAAGTGGATACATAAAGCACTAATGTGTGTAATGCAGCAGGAGAGACGGACAGATCTTCAGCAGATCTCCATCCTCTGACTGTAACAGGACAGACACAATCATACTCATGACCTTCAATTAAAAACTGCAATATTATTCTTTCATTTGATTCCTTTTTAACTACATTTGATTTGATATATTGTACTGTTGTCCACGCAGCTACATCTAAATAAACATACTAATAACATTTGTTTATATAACGCTGCTGCTGGTACCTAAAAGTATTCAATCGTCTTTATTACTGAGGATAATGCTGAATGCACTAATGTTACTAAATATTGATTTAAAAAACAATGTGTGCGTGTGTGCAAACCTAGGAATGTAGTTAAATCAATTATAAAAAAAAGAAAAGCACAAAAAGTTGTAATAATAACATTAACAATTATAAACAATACAACAGAAGGAGAATACTGTAATAATGCATTTGATTATGCAGGATTGGGTTATTAATAATCAGATGTACGATGTACAACCGAGATGTACAATAGTTTCATTATATTACAGTTATATTATAACTAACAAATTATCAGTGGTGATCGACAAAAAAAAACTTATTTATCTAAAGTAATAATATATTAAATATTTAAAAACAGTCATTTTATATGAACAAGTGAGAAAATAGATATTTAGATATTTCAGATATTCTGAAATTTGCTAAAAAAAATATTTATATTTAAAACTTTGTATAATTAAATAATCTTTTTTGTAATAATATTAAAAACAATAATAATTATTATTATTGTTACACATGTAACAGCTTATAATATTATTATTATTTTCTTTAATATTAATAGTAATTATTAGTAATTATTGGTCATAAAAACAACAACAACAACAACAACATTTCATTATTTTAAAAAAAACCTTAATATTAGTTAGTAGTAATCATAATTATTATTTTTAAAAGTAACAATAATGAAAATTATTATTATTATTATAAATATTAAGCTTTTTTATTTAATAATATAAGTAACTAGTAGTAATCAAAAATTATTATCATTGAAAACTATCATAATAATAATAATAAATTATTATTATTATAAATGTTAAGATGTTTTTATCAATAATATTATTAATTCGTAGTAATCAGTAATTATTATTTATAAAAATTACAACAATAATTATAATGTGTTATTATTATAAATATTAGGATTTTTTCTTTATTAATATTAGTAATAAGTGGTAATCAGCAATTATTATTTATAAAAATAACAACAATAATAATATATTATTATTGTAAATATTAGGATTTTTTCTTTATTAATATTAGTAATAAGTAGTAATCAGCAATTATCATTTTAAAAATAACAAAAATAATAATAATGTGTTATTATTATAAATATTAGGATTTTTTCTTTATTAATATCAGTAATTAGTAGTAATCAGTAAATATTATTGATAAAAACTATAATAATAACAATAAATTATTATTATAAATATAAGATTTTTTTATTTAATACTATTAGTAATTGGTTGTAATCAAAAATATTATTAATAAAAACAATAATAATAATAATAATACATTATTAACATAAATATGTTTTTTTCTTTAATAATATTAGTAATTAGTAGTAAAATTATTATTGTTAATAAATAATAATCGTAATCATAATACATTACTATTATTATAAATATAAAAAATCTTTGATAATATTAGTATTTAGTAGTTATCAGTAATTATTAATAAAAATAACAATAATAATAAATTATTAATATTATAAATATATTTTTTTTATTATTTATTAGTACAAGTATTTAGTAGTAATCTGTAATTATGATATTAAAAATATCAATGACAATATTAATAGCAATAACACTGATATATTATTAAAAATATAATAAAATAAAAATAAAAATAATAAAAATATTATTATTGTAGATTATTACATTTAAAAATGAATAAACAATTAAATAGTAACTAGCTACCAACACAAAAAAGGTCTCTAATGGTGCTGAATGAAGATGTCTCTTAAATGCTCAATACTG